TGTCCTGGAAGTCATGTACAGACCCCTACTTCCCAGAGCGCCATTGCATTAAAAAGGTTGTTTTCTCTCCTTTTAAGCAACTCCATTCCACCCTGAGTTAAATGCTAAAGCTAGTTAGCATTTTAGTAAATAGCAATGAGAGATAATGATTCCTTCTAATTGTTGAAAATGATAGTGTTTCTAAGGAAGGCTTTCCAGCTGTTTTGTCTGACTTAATCAGGAACGTTTAACCTTATTGTCTCAGGGTTTTGTTCCCTCTGCACTATGGTTCTCTGTATCTGGCAAAGGTGACTGAGATGTTGGCTTAGGAGACCATCAGGAGTGTGTGCCTTGCACAATGTCCAGGTTGACTCAGAAAGGCTGGGTGATGAGTAGAAGCCTGTCGTTTACATTTGGTCTCAGGATTATTTCAGTTACTTTGGCTAACATATGAGTAAGAAAATTGTTCTAGAATTCAGAGGTCTGTAGTCTCAACATAGAAAAGCGAAATCACTCACAGAAATGGTATGGGATTTGTTCTTCAAGCCTTTCCAGTGGCAACTGGTCTCAATCTTAGTTAAATCATAGGCATAGAAACACCTGGGGAAGTTAAAGCTTCCCAATCAACTCTTGGCCCAGGTTAAAAGAGGAAGGTTATTGATGTAAATATTCATTTTGAAAAATGAATGGACAGAGAGAACATGAGATCACATCATGATGACCTTTGGGGAAGATGCTTTCAGAAGTAAATAATCTCACACTTATTTCCTAAAACTTGAAGACTTGTTTGCAGTTTCTCTAGAAGCACTAAGATACACACTGATGAAAAATGAATCATCCCAGAGTACATTTCAGAACCTGGACCACACACTGGTCTAAACTTGGAGCAAGGCTATTTTGAGCAATTGGGGCTAAAAGCTAATGCCTTGATAGGACATAGACAATGACCTTTCCAATATTATTTTGATCTTTTAATTATTTTCTGAGAAGGAATAAGACACTGAGGGACAAAGGACCTCTATTTTTAGTGGCCTACATCCTGAAAGCATACCAGTAAATATAGAAAAGAAACTGTTCCCCTATTGAAGTACTAATGAATGTTTTTCTTGATTTGATGCTGTTTTGGAAAACTATAAATATAATAAGAGGGCCTTATTATTAATGGTTTATGTGCAGATTGCCTTTAGCAAATGTTTTAGGTCTTCTCAGCATAGAATTATAAAAGAAAGTGTGCTAAGCCCAAATTATTTAGCTTCTTCACCCATTCACACTTGCAGCTCTCTGTAGCTCTTCCAAGAACCTCCCCTCTCCCAGTTATTTCTGGGAGTTCCTGCTACCTCCAATGTGCCATACAAGGCTAGGGGACTTTGCAAGACACATTGAGGTATGGTCATAAGAAATAGCTTACGATCAACTTATGGCGCTAGGTAGGTCTCTTTGAAATGATTGATCCCATTATAAATGCCAATGCTGTTTTGTATGTTCACCCTTTACGCAAGAAGTACTTACTATAAATAACAATGATCTTTATGCCAGGCATCTCTGTATTTTTCAGAGTAAGTCATGTTTCTGATAATCATATAATGCATGACTGCACTACATTTTATAAGTGATGAACACTTGAGCTGACTGCACACCCATCTCTTTGCACGGATAGAGTAAACTACCTTTCCCATAAACCTATGGACTCTTTTAAGAATTTCTTCTAGGGTATATGCCCAGGAGGGTGATTATCACGTTAAGAGCATTCTTGATTACATGAACTACTCACAGGAGTATGGAAGGGTGAAGAAAAGCTATTGGCTGGGAAAACATTGCCAAGAAACAACAACAACAAACAAACAAACGACCCATGGGATGGTGCTACTGCATGGTGGGATCGTGGTTTGTACTTCATCAGGGCCAGGAGAGAGATGAGCCTGGGATGTGGTGATGGGATACCAGGTCTTGAAAGGTCTCCTACATTCCTGTAGTAAATGAAGGGCAGGTTGTAATGAGCTTTAAGCAAGGCAGAGGTATTATTAGATTTGCATATTAGATTCGATATGTGTGCTCTGCCGGCTCAACACCCTGACAAAAGCATGACCTCAAACTTCAGTGGCTCACACTCTAAGGGAATGTGTCCTTCCCTGGACAAGTGCTGAGCAGGGCGGAGGAAAGGGTGGTGGTGGTGGTGGAAGGAATGGGCATGCCTGGGTCTCAAGTCCTCCAACTGAGACTGGGTTTCAGGAGAGGATCCATGGCTCAGTGGGGATGGGTGGGGAAAGGCATTTGCAAGAGGAAACTGGAAAGCAGTTCAGGAGGGGTTATCCAGTTGCTCCAAGAAATGGTAATGGAGTGGTTGCTTTCAGCAGGGGGCAATGAGGAGATACCCAGGCAGATATTGATCCAGAGGGTTTTAAAACCAAAAACACTGCTCTATGGGATGAGGGCTACCCAAATCCTTTGTGTACTCGCTAGGAAAAAGGTATGTAACTCCAAATATTACGAGAAACTCTCCTTCCCGTCTTTCAGCTGTCCTTGCTCAGAATCCTTGGTTGCTGATTTCACTTCTGGCAACAATACAAAAACTAAGGGGACAAAAAGAAAGACATTATGGACCAGATTCTCAGGGCATTGGGTTTTGTATCTTTTTTTGGTAATGTAAGTAGAGATGTCTGCTCTTGGGAATCATACTGCCTTCTAGGGCACAGTGTCCTCTGGCTCTCTCCTCTCTCTCTCTCTCTCTCTCCTCTCTCTCTCTCTCTCTCTCTCTCTCTCCCTCTTTCTCTCTCTCTCCCTCTCCCTCTCTCTGTCATCCTTCTTCAGAGGACTCTCTCCAATGTACACATTCAGCATCTTCTGTCTCTGGGACGATGATTTCCAAGGGTTCCTTCCTGAGAACCTTAGAATGGGAATTTTCAAGCTGGTGTCCCAGCTGCCCGCAGCTCCTTTCACTCGGATGTCTCACTTGGTCACTCTTCTAGCTCAGTGTGGCTCACATCCTTTCCATACACTGCTCTAAAGCAGCAAGCCTTTCCAAGTTCTCTACTGCTCTCCTGGAACCACGAGTTTCCTTGTCCCAACCTTGGAGTTGCATAACTAACAGATGCCTCTCTACCGCTTCTGACACAGCAGCCAGCAAATCCCAGGATCCTTTTTCAGAATCAAGATCTGGCTCTTCCTTTTTGCACAGCCATCGACAATGCTAAGCACCGTAGTGTTTCTTAGTATTGATGCCTCCTAAATGGCTGGTTATCACCAAGGTTTCTCTACCAGGCATCCACTGTACTCCTCAGATCCCTGCTACCCATAATTAGATGCTATTTCTCTAATAAAGAGCATAGAGCAGTTTGTAAAATAATAAATTCTAAGCTTGATCGCAAAGTTGCTTATTAACTCTTTTTAAAAAATATTTACTGTATTTGTACTCTAGATAAATAGAGCCATAATTTCATATCTATAGGGACTATTCTAGGATCACCCTTGAATACAGAATTGCTCATATTTCAGTTCCATTATGTAAGATGCCATTACATTTTTCATGTAACCTACACACATCCTCCCTTCTACTTTAAATTATCTCTTGATTACTTATAACACCCTGTATAATATAAATGCTAAGTGAACGGTTGTCATATTGTTTCTGAAAAATGAGGAATACACCTATTTGTGCCCATTACATATGAAGAGGGTTTATTTTTTTGTCATATATATTTTCAAGTCAACATGGAACCAGAAGAGGCAACTGTAAGGTCTTTACTTATAGAATTATTGAATTAATATTCTCTAGTTCACGACTGTCTGTCAGGCAAGGACATAGGTGTTTATGGTGTACATGTGTATTCCTACTTACATATTTAAACAGTTTTTTTCCTATTTCTTTAAAACTATGTAGCCCAGTGGTAGAATGTCATTGCTTCAACAGATTGAGCATGGGCCACATCCTTGATGGTTTTTCCTTTCCCATCAGCAAGGGACACCTCTCTTACTTCATACACACACTTTCCTTCACCAGCGTCTATGACTCATTGTCAGTTGCTTCTGCCAGCTCTGTACCCTCCAAGGTCTTTGCTAATTCAAATTCCGCTGTCTTCCAAGTTGACTCCAACAGTAATTGCCCTCAAGCCTTTCTGGTTACTTCATCTTTATCCCGAGACTTCACAATCTTATTTCTTAAGCAGAAAGTTGGCGCCACACTCCAGGGTATAGGTCTCCAAATGTAAGCGCCTATTTACTTCATCTCATGTGGCACTCAGCACTTAGTAATGTACATTAACAGAATCCTACGCCTCCAGAACCACTTTGAAAACATAGTGTTAGATTTCCGGGCATTGCTTATATTTCTCCAGAGGGATTGTGTGTGTGTGTGTGTGTGTGTGTGTGTGTGTGTGTGTGCAGCTTACAGTGTCTGACCAATGTTATGTGTAGTGCCTACACCGCTCAACATCCTGCCTCGTTTTGGCTCCCTGGTTGAGTCGGTTTTGTGACTCCTTATAGACCCATCAAGTAGACTATTAATGACACCCATCCAGCCAAGGGTTCAGAACACTCTGTAGAGGAGGAGACCAAGTCCCGAGGACCTGCTCGCTTTGAAAGCCATCAGAAGCCCCAGAGATGAAAACAAACAAACAAACAAACAAAAAAACAAAAACAAAAACAAAAAACTCTCAGCCGTCACCCCAGATAACCCTAGTGCATCTCAAAGGCATTAGGCTTCCAGAGACTGCCAGACGGAAGCTCTACCCTCACAGTCTTAGTCCTAAGACGCTGCACCCGGAGCAGGCGCGAGCCAGAGTGGGGCAGTCAGGTCACCAGGAGTGAACAGAAAAGGAAGCCCAGAGTTAACAGGCGCGGAGCCTGCCCGCCGCCCGCCCTCACCCTTGCAGGTGCACCGGGCAGCGCTGGCGCCCAGCAATCGCCCGCCGCTCCGGGACGGGGCGGAGGGGCGGGGCTTGAGGGGCCCGGGGGCGGGGCTTAGGCGGCTCGGGGGCGGGACCTCCCGGGTGGCGACGCGCTGCGCTGACGTCACGGGCGTGGGCCGGCCCAGCGCGTCGTCGGTGGACGGGGCGCGGAGCGCGGCCGGTGGTTCGTGCGGCCGCTGGGCGTCCGTTCGCACGGCCGCGCGCCCTCCGCCCCGACGAGGCGTCCGCGGCCGGGCTTCCGCAGTCATGCTGCGGTCGGCGCGCCTCGCGCGGCCCCTCTGAGTCCGGGAACGGCGGCGAGCGCGGCGGGCTCGGGTCGCCATGCCTACCCGTGAGTGTGGGGCCGGGCGGGGAGCGCAGGGCAGGGCAGGGCAGGGCGAGCGCCTCCAGGGCTCCAGGAAGCGCCGGGCGGCCCCGAGTTAGTGTCGCCCCGCCGGGCTGCGGCGGGGGCGGGGGAGCGGGGATCTCAGTGCACCCTGGGGCGGGAGAGGTGCGGGAACCGACGGCGGTAACGGAGATCGGGAAGGACCCGGCTGATCCCCCCACCACCACCTCCCCGCCCCAGCGCGGCCCAGCGCCACTCTGAGCACTGCGATCCTCCGAGGCCTGTGCCGCTTCCGCGGTGGGGACGTCACACGGACAGACTCCCTGACGGACTGGGGGTCCCCGGGTTCGGTGTCAGCCTGACTTCCTAACCCTCGGCTGACTCAAACTGCGGGTGACTCGCCCGTCCCGCGTGGGACCCGGGCTCTGCCAACAGCCAGTGTGCCAGCTGTCCCCTAGGGACGGACGCCGGGTTTGCAGACGAGCCCGTAGTGGAGGCTTTGGGACCTTGCACTACGAGGTGAGGTGCTTAGCTCAGTGCTGCCAGGGGCCCAGATGCTCGCAGTTGAGACTTTAAAGCCCCTGGCCCACCCGGATTACGTGCAAACTGGACGACTGGCTGGCTCATCTCGGACCTAGAAGGCGTCATGATGCTGGTGATGGGTTTGAGATTCTTTGCAAGTTAGGGGCCCCTTTGTAAGTGTGTCCTGTCGCAGAATCTTTATAAAGACTTGTGAATGTGGTCTCCCCCCCCCTTGGAATTCCTAACTAGCCCCGCCTGGCTTGGTTTCTGGAGACATACCGGGTACCAGATTTCTAGACTGCTTCAAATGTCCGTTTTTTTTTTTTTTTTTTTTTTTTTTTTTTACCCTAGTGTTGGGCAAAAGAAAACAAAAATCTTAATAATAGAATGGGTAATCAATCTACTAGTTGTGTCATCTTTCACCTTAATGTAGAGGTCAGTTTATTATTTTCTAACTTCATGTTCTGTTATTCAAGTATTTGAAACTGGCACGGTGATGGTCGTTTTCAGGGAAAGCAGAAGGGAGGAGGATAAACCAGTGTCTGAAAAGATGAGACTTCATGGGGTTGACTGGGCCAAATGTCCATCTGTAAAATGATGAAGCTTTTGTTATGTGTTAACATTATCTGGTTTCCTAGAGAGGATGCAGAGAACCTGTACTTTTAGGATGCTTGATTTATTTACTCTGCCCAGTGAGTTTTAGAAGAACTCAGGTGTCAGATTGCGTCCGTGAGTGGAAGGTCATAGGAGATGTTTGTATACCGTTCATATTTGGTGCTATGCGCCTCCTGTAATTGAGGAGATGCTGATGTGGACAGGGGGTGCAGATCTGAAATAGTAGCTCTTGTTTCTTCTCCCCTGATGTGCAGAGCCCTTAAGATGTCTGAGATTGTGTGGTGGGCAGGGTGCTTCTTAGACATCCTGTTTCTAGAGTATACTGCTGACATACTGAGTTTATAAGCAGACACTTCAACACGGTCACTGTGTTATGAATGCTTTTAGGATTAAATATGTGTTATAATCTTTTTTTTTTTTTTTTTAGAGATGTTAAGTCAAGAGGCTTATTTGCAGGCCCAGCTAGATGCTTTTCTACAAAATTGAAGGGTTGAAGAGGATCACTTTAGTCTCGTGGGTTCTGGAATTCTGTAAGCAGCTCACAGAGAAGTAATTGTGTTGCTGTTTTTATTACTCACTTGGAGTTGAAATGACACTGGTAGGAGAAGCCAGCTTCACATGCTGGCCAAGCAAATGTGTGTCTCATGGATGTTGTTTAGGCAGCCAAGGACTCCTTGAGAAGCAACTGTAAGGATGCCTGCCAGGAAGGTGCCTACACAGAACAGTTCTTGTTCTTGGCATTCTGTGATAGCCTGTAGCAGGCTGACTTCAGGCTTGGCATTGGGTGGTCTTTTCAAACCTAGATTTGATACACTGTTAAGCTTTTAATTTCAGAGGGTTTCAACTTTTATGCCAGTATTTGAGTTGGAAGGAAAGTCAGGGTTTCTTAGTCCATTTTTTTTGTTTGTTTGTTTGTTTATTTTTTAAGACCAGGAGACTGAGACATTTTTTTTTTTTCTCTTTAAACCATTATTTTGTTTTTAGGCAGAGGCTCATTATATACCCTAGAACTTGTGGTCCTCTTGCCACTTCTAAAGGGTTGTAGATGTTTACCACTGTGTGTGGGTTTCAGTGAGTTTTGATGGCTTCCCTGAGGTCATAAATGGAGTAGAACCAGTATTTGAACAGAGATCTGGCATCTTTACCAGGATCCACATTGAACACAGATGATGTCTATTTTTCCTTAGCCAAAGCTGAATGAACTGTTTTGTTTGTTTGAGTTACATTAAGACAAAAATGGTAGCTTTGCCAAAATTCTATGAAACTTTGTGTAAGCTTCCAGAGAGCTCATTGTTTGCCTGGATTTAACTCTTGCCACTGGAACTTAGGAAGGCAGCTATGGACTCTGCAGGTGTTGATGGTCTGTTATAAAGGCATGGATTTAAATTCTCTAGCAGACTGCTTATTATGTGGAGGGGGCTTCTTTATCCACATCTCGTGCATGAAAACAGTCCAGTGAAACGTGATCTTATATGTGAGAAATGGTTATGTATTAGCTGGAGGATTCAAACATTGAACTGTTGTTTGCTTTCAGTGAATGACTAATGCTTTCTTTCTTCCTGTAGACATCAGCATTGCTATCTGGTCAGGTTTGTTTGACTGTGGTAATGTGGGTATCCCTCTATCCTCAGATAAGGCTCATTACACTTAACTGTTTTTCAGTGTCTTCCAGAAGTGGCAAGTGAACCATGAAGGATAGGTGATAGCTGAAGTATTTCTTTTTAGAAACACATTACATGCTGGGCATTGTGGTGCATGCCTTTAATGCCAGCATTTGGCAAGTAGAGTCAGGCGGATCTTTGTAAGTTGAAGGACAGCCTGGTCTACAGAGCTAGTTCTAGGACAGGCTCCAACAACCCCCCCCCCACCTCCCCAAAAAGAAACACATTACATGTTTTAACTTTTTACCACAGTGACAGACCTGACTGAGAAGGAAACAGCTTGAGGAATGATTTAATCTGACCCGTGGCTCCAGAGGTGTCAGCCCAAAGTCCACAGAGTCCATTGTTTGTGGAAGGACAGAGACATCGTGGCCCAAAGAGTGGGAGAGGGAGCTTCACGTGAAAGCTGTTCACCTCATAACAGCCAGCTAACAGACATAGAGGAAGCACCCAGGCATAAGCTGTCCCCTTCAGAGGCCCACCCCGCAGTTACTGCATTTGCTTCCCAGTACTTCATTCTGTTGTGCCTTCATCCCTGGGTTGACTTTAGTTTTCGGTGCACTCAGGCCACATTAATGCTGACCAGCTAACAGCCAAGCTGGTGGTTGGTGGTCAGTGTCACCAGTTTGACAGAATGCAGAATCAGTGAGAGGACATGCCTTTGGTCATATTCATGGGGGATTATCTTGACCAGGCTTATTGAGATGGAAATCCAGTGCACTCATTCCTTGGGCAGGAATTCCTGGCTTGATAAAATCAAGAAAGATTTCTGAGCCCTGCATGCACTTGCTGTGCTTTCTCCTTGTGCATGCAATGCATCAGCCACTTCCCACTCCTTTGCTTTGTGCATGCAATGCATCAGCCACTTCCCACTCCTGTTGCTTTGTGCATGCAATGCATCAGCCACTTCCCACTCCTGTTGCTTTGTGCATGCAATGCATCAGCCACTTCCCACTCCTGTTGCTTTGTGCATGCAATGCATCAGCCACTTCCCACTCCTGTTGCTTTGGGTTTTCTGTCATGAGTGACTAACGCCTTGAACTCTGAGCCAGAAAAGCCCTAAAGTTGCTTTGTCAGACTGTGTCATCACAGCAACAAGGAAAGGAGCTAAGAAAAAGACTTTAACAAAGCTCAGTGATCATTTAACTTTGAACCCATAAAGCATGAAAACGTAGGCACTCATATTACTGGCTTTGGAGCCTTTGTTCCTTCATATTTACTTACTCATACATATTGATATTTTACCATTCTCTGCAGCCTTCTTCCTTCACCCAGAGTAATAGCTGAAGTTTTGTTATTTTTCTTTTTCCCTCTCACAGTGATCTTTGTCTTGATACTGCTTTGATTGCTGCCTAGGAGACCTTGTGTTTCTTTTATTTTTTAAACAGTCTCTCTGTGTATCCCTGGCTAGCCTGGACTCACTGTGTAGACTTGATGTATTCATACCCAGAGATCCACCGGTTTCTGTCTCTCAAGTGCTGGGATTAAAGGCTTGCATCACCAGCACACCACACAGAATTTGTGCCTCAGTTAGTTCCATTCATGAGCAAGTAGAGCTGCTTTAAAGATTATGTAAATGATATGACAGAGGGGAAGGGAGCCAGAAATGGAATAGTTTCATGTGTTATTGTAATGCAGAGAAGCAGTTAAGGACTAACAATATGCTTGAGCTGTCACAACCCCTTACAGTGGCTATTTGTAGACACACTAGCAATTTCTAGCTTACTGGCTTCTTTATAAAGACATGTAATAGTCAGATTTTACCAGACCTTCCTGTATGCTTTTTGATGTGTAAGACAATACAGATGTCTGCGCTTTACATTGTACGTGAGAGTTTTCCAGCCTTGGCACCATTGATTCTGTGGACCACCCATTTTGGTGGCGGTGGGCTGAAGGAGGGTGTGATAGCAGGGCCTGTCCTATGTTTTATAGAATGTGTGTAGTTGCATATTTGGCTTTTATCCACTAAAGCCAGTAGTATCACCTACTCTTCCCCAGGAACCTCAAAATTCTAAGAACCAACATTTCCAGACATTGCCTTTTATCCTCTGGAGGACAGAATTAAAATTATACCTCATTAAGAACTGCTCTAGTTCTAAATATTTCAATGTTATAGATCAGGCTGTGCCCACAGCCTGACCTGCTTTCACACCATTAGGATGCTCAGCCAGCCTGCTCCCCAGTGATGCCTTTGCAAGGAGCAGAGGC